CGATCCCTGTGCTACCTGCCGCCGTCCTGGGGCCGCATCTCCGACGGGCCCCGCGCCCCTGGCCAGGAAGCCACCGTCACCTCGGCGTGCTTCTCCACCGAGGGGAAACCGAGGGCAGCGGGTAGGGTTGGCTTTTGAAGGTTAGAAAACACAGTAAGAGCCAAGATGAAACACAGTGCGTGCCTAGATGTGCGATCTCCTCCTCCCCTGGGTGGAAGTGTCCAGCAGTCTCCCCTCCTTAGACCTGGCCAGTCTGCTCAATCCTGTACCATCCCGGGCGTTATTTCCCCAAGAACCACACTTAAGATGGTCCTCTGTGTGCTTTTATCACTGTAAATAATATTTGGAGCCTGCAAATTTGGTTGTGGACTATGTAGTGCCTTTATTTCTAACTCAAGTATGTAAATAGGAAGTTATTTCAGTGATTTGAAGATTTGTTGTTGGCAAAAATGATTATTGTATTCTCCTGACTTGAGTAGTGACATACAGTTACTAGTTGAATGTCTTTTAAAATGCTAACGTAATCTTTTAGTCATTTTTGGAGAAGATTTCATAGCATATTTTTTTTTGTTAAAAATAAGAAGTCTTTAAAAATATTTTAGACATTCTCACCTTTTTACCCTCCTTACCCTAAGTCTCTCATCTTTGCTTCCAAAGTCTTTAAGTACTTAGAGCTATTACAGTCCTTAAAACAGTGGCAGGCACCTGCTTGTTGAGTTAATACAGATTGCAGTACGTTCTTTTAGAATAAATTAATGTCTTTTTCTTACTGGACTTTATGCCCTAGAACATACGTAGAGTCTCCCATTAGCAAAGTGTTTGGCACACTTTGATATTTAACACCTATTTGGCTTGATAGAGGATATTTATACACTTCAAGCACCTCCACAAGTTTTAAAAATGTAGATATTGATATGTAACTGGCATTTAGAAAGCTTTAATTTTGGACATTCAGCTGGGAGCTAAAAAATACACGTATGTTAAAGCCTTTAGTTATATGTAGCAAATATTCTCACCATAATTCTGAATTCTCAAGTGAGATTTATGAAGGAACAGGAAGATTTTAAAACTGGCTTTATGCTTTTTGTCAGTATCATTTTCATAAATAAAGAAGGAATTTAGTGAACAATTATTTTGAAGTTATATAATTACCTTTTCCCCCAAAAGAAGTCAAAGTCTTCCTAGCAAACTTCATGGAAACACTTTTGCAACTTGTTCTGATAATGTTTCATTCTCAGTTGGATGTATACTTTATATGTCAGTTACATTGCAAAGGTCTAAAGTCAGCTAGTAATTTAAGAATAGTAATCTTTTAATCATTTTTAAAAACTAAAGCATCTCAATTGTTTCCTTTTCCACGGTTTAACTGTTAGTTTAAAGGTATGTAAGTGATCATGGAGCATTCATTTAATTTTGTGAAACAGTGATATTTTGTTTTAAAGGGGCTGAAACTGGGTCAGAATATATAGATTGGTTTTGTTGTCAGGAAAAGTACTCTGCCATATTTTATATTTAAATTATCAGCCATTTCTTTTACATGTATATTATGATCTTTCTGTTACATTTCTCCATTTAATTACAAAACGTTAAAAATTTATTTTATTTAATTTATTTTGTTTGAGACAGGGTCTCACTATGTAGGTGAGACTGACCTGGAACTCACTATGTAGCACAGGCTGGTCTCAAACTCACAGCAATCCTCCTGTCTCAGCCTCCCAAAGTGCTGGGATAAAGGCGTACGACACCACACCCCGCACAAAACTTTTTTTTTAAAAGAAAGCTAGAAGAGTAAAGATCTCACTTCTTTGGTACATCCAATTTCAGATTTTAAGTGGGCACCATATATTGTGTTTTGTCAGGAAGAATATAATTAACTCATGGGCACCATTACTCATGACAAACTGTAGTTTAAAATAATTTGCATACTATTTGAACTCAAGTTTTTAAACTTTAAACTCTGATAAATAGACCATATATAGGCTTAATTATTTTCACTATTAAAGTTGTAACACTTTAAAGGTGGAAAATACATAGTAAAGCAATTACTAAAAATGGCAGGGGTGGTTGGTTAGGAGCTTAAATTGATTGTTTAAAGACAAACTACATACAGAACCTTTTTGTTTTAAGGGGATTTTTCCTCCCACAAGGCAGTAAGGAATGAAAAATAAAATTATTTCCAACCTTAATTACTTAGTCAGTGTTTCTCCCCAAAACATCTAAATAGGAGCACACAACTTTTCTGGGAGCAGTCCAGTTCTTTTAGGAAAATGTAGGGGCCATTGTGAATTTATAGTTTAGAATTGAATGGATTGTGATTATCACTGCCTTCTAAACTAAGCAAAAGACATGCCTGCTCTGGGGCTATCAGAGATCTGACTGAATGCATTTCTTCCTTCTCTGATTGCTGGTCCCTTTATTTGGGGAGCTCCACAAAATACCAGGACTTCAGAGAGCTCAAGTCAAGGTGAGATCTGAGAGAGAGGATTCACCCCAAATATAAGTAGCGAACCAGCTAACTCTGCAGGCTTCTATTGAAGAGATATCAAGAATTTCCTGACATGGCACACCTGCAGCAGCTGTGGCCATCTTTCCATTTGACACCCGGCGAATCTGTAGTTTCTGCAAAATTGGCAGCTGTCATTGAAACGTCTGCTATACAGTTTTCAAGCTAAGTACAGTAATAAGTGCAGTACGTACATTTTGTAGACTCAGCACTTAATTTTTGTTAGACTAAGCATAGTACTCACATTTTATTAAAGAAACTGGATAAAGATTTAAAGTTATATAAACTAGAGCTGTGTCACTTTCTAGGTGAAAGTTCTCTCTTTTCTTTAGGAAATGTCACTCAGCACCCAAAAGAAGCCTAAGTTAAAAAGACGTGTTTAAATAACCACATAAAAACGAAGGAGCAGTCATAGTGGTCATCCTTGGGAGAAAGCCACTGGAGAGAGGACATTTAGCTTACAATCTCCTCTGCTTTTCTCTGGGAGTACTAATACTTTCAGTATGGTGTAATTAAGTGTCTGCACGTGGTTGTGACAGTCCAGGAATCTTGAAACCAGAAATGTTTAGGTATGTAAAAAGCTGGACGGAGAAGGACAATACTGACTCTTGCGTTGCACCGACAGCAGTGTGTTTGTCAGGTTACACACTGGCATGGATGAGATTTCGAGTGACCATCGAAGCTCAGACGATCCCACGGGGCTGGGGCCTCCGGAGACAACCGACGGGCCGGGCCCGCGGCGCCCTGCAGTGTGGCGTAGGGTGCCCTGCACGAGGTGACCCTGGGATTGGCCGCCGTCGCCCGCCGT